AGCTGTGGTACCTTAAATCCGACAAGTTACCCCGATAAGCCAGTAACCCCGCTTCGTAGTACTGGCCACAGAAGCTTCGGACGTGTTCGGAAAGGGTTGATCCTGGGCGCCGAAATTGCCATAATTAAAACATTACTGTTTCAGGCGTGTCAGAGCTTGTACCACTGCGCTTAATAAACCGGAGTGGTGTCTGGTAATCTTTAGTTTTGTGCTAAACGAAGATGGTAAACCACAGGACATATGCAAGCCTGTATGCAAGTTGTTCCACCGCGCAAAACTGATAAAAAGCGAACACCACGAATTTAGCAAAACTAGGACCGACACGCGACGCAGTACAGCTAGTTTCCAGATGTAGGTGTCTTCTTTCTGATTTTTTTTCTATGGGTTAAAACATTTTTGTAGTCTGTTAAATATTATCACATTAATACAATGGTCTGCAGTTATTTTGTTCGGCTATATGCGATCTTGTAAGGTTGTTTTGATTAGTGTTGATCGTCCGGATACCGTTGTTAAGGGTTTATTCTTTTAAATATCTCGAGATATTTGAAAACCATAAACAAATAAAACCCGTGATGTCGAGATCCCAAGAAAAATATCTAGTGATCTCGACGTAACTTTCGTAGTGCTGGGTATCGAAAATGGTATCGTTTCGAAGGTTGAAATTCTGGTATCCTGACATCACTACTTATTTCTAATGGTTTTTCAAGCTTGTAAGATAGTAGATATTACTGATATTAGATTTAAGATGTTTTTATGACGAAGGAAGTAAATTAGGCCTTTGATTGTAGAGTGGCAGATATCCTTTTTGTTGGGTTTGTAACCCTTTTCTTCATGTCTACCCCTCCTAGTCCCAGCAACATGACCGCCCACATTAGCCACATTGTCGTTGGCGTTGTGTTTATTGTCATCATCATCATTGTCATCGTCTGCTGGTGCCTGTGCCCTTGCTGCGGTATGTATAACATGTAGGAAGCCCAGGCGTGAGTATATATACCGCTGTTCTTTATCAGTCTGTCCCATCCTGTCCATTGTTGTGAGTTGTTTGAGCTGTTCACAGAGTACTTATGAATTTATATTTATTAACCTGGCTCTGGGTTTTCATTTGTAACCCCCCCCGCCCCACACACACACACACACACACACACACACACACACACACATTGTTGCTGAGGTGCTAAGCTATACAGTAACAACAGTGTATTTTGGTTAAATTTCGAAGTTGGGGAAAAAAAGGTTAAGATTTATCCACCATTTTAAAACAATATTCCATCATTGCATCAATTGTTCTCAAATATACCTGCATAAATCACTGGTTCCACCTCTGTTTGAGGTTCCTCTACAGCATTCTTTAATGATGACCTCATCAACTGAGTCAGTCTTGTTGTTTTAAAGTTTATGTCTTAGATTTGCAGACAGTCTCATCTTGTGTTTCTCAGCGAGTACTCAGATACCAGAGCATGTGAGCGGAGCGTGAGCGAGGAGCGGAATTTGGTCAGAGCGCGGAGCGGGTTTTCTAATTAAGGCTGGAGCGGTCGCTTTGTCTCTCTCCAATTTCGCTCCGATACCGCTCACACTACAATTCTGAGGCGTGCCCAAATCTACCCAGAATTCATCTGTACAATTATCAAGACTGTTACACAAATTGGCCGAGATGGAATTCGCAAAGTATTT